ATTGATGTTTTAAAAACACAATGCCTTTTAGATACTGGTCCAATGTAGCACGTTATATTTGGGATTACATTTTCTCAGTAGAGAACAGATTCCAGTACTTTTTAGCATTGAGTGCCATCCAGGATTCAAACCCTCACTCCCACAGCGATGCACCCAATCACCAAGAAACAAAGCTGGCCATCTTACCCACTCAGCCATCACAGATTCCAGAAAATAGTAGTCTAGATCGCATACTTCGTGTAAACCTCTGACAATGTAACTTGTCCCACTTGGGACAAGCACTACAATCTGTACTGTACGGAGAAAGTGTAGTCCCAAATATAACATGTTCATATTTTAAACATGAAAAGTTAACGTTTCCATTCCTGAATTCGGAGAAGTATGAGATAACTTTAGTTTATGTTTTGTGCACCCTGTTCTAGATGCCTTGAACCAAGCAGGAAATGGTAGGAGTGTGATGTGACGTGTTGATGATGTGTTGATGATGTGTAGATAATGTGATAAATAACTAACTACACCTTGTGGGTACACCATTGATCATGTTCGTGTTATCAGTCACTAGTTTGGCTGACAAGACTTGATTGCTCGCACATATTTGTGGAATTATTTATCAGGGGAATATTGCTGATGTAAGCGCAAGACAGTATTAATTCACTCATCACTCACTAACTTGTCACTAAAAACCCATTCATGCTAAATAGTTGTTGTTGCAACTTAAGTGGTGTTTCATGAAATGGAAACTTTAATAAACTGGATTTATAACATATTGATGTCAAAGTTTCAGTGTGGTTTGACAGTGCTATGGCACAACACAAGGAATTACCATATCGCACCTAGAAATTAAAAACATCCTATCTCTTGGTGAAATAAAAATGGTACTTGGCTAAAAGGCCTTGATTTCTTAATTGTTCTATTGACTGGTTTGTGTGTGGGAGGAATAACAGATTGTAGTCACGGCACGATCTCGTATTCTGCAATAAGGCCATAGTGAATTAATCATTAGATTTCCATCACCAACCAACTCACTATCAAACACTCATCCTCTCATCCTGTTATTGTCAGAACAGAATTTTCCCAATATTATCAAACATGTAGTCCACAATCCTCACACTGGTGTACACACGTTATTTTTTCCACAAATCAGTTCCGATACAGATGAAAGGCTGATGGACCAGTTAGATTCAAGTTGTGGTGCAACTCAATTTTGTGTGGGTAAATACACCGATTAATGATGTACCAGTACTCTGAAGGATTAGAATTATGACAGTTGATATCTCTTTGGTTTCTTTACTTTGACGGACGTAATATTCTTACATGATACAGATGCAGCTTTCATATTGATCACATCTAATTCACTCTGGTGGTAGAGCAGAGTAGTTCTGTGTGTGTTCACACTCTGAAAATATAGAATTCCGATAAAGAAGTGCTCCACATTTACTGTGTGTTCCATAATATGCGCCCGGGGCTCATAGAATATTGAGGGAGGTTGAGTTGAATTTGTTGTGAGAGATTGAGTGGTAGAGAAGAATCCTAGTTCTCCTGTCAGTGGAATTAAATGTTTTCTATAGAAGTATCCAGACATTTATATTTCCACCTGCTGTTTTGTGTAAACCTAAAACTATGGAACATGTTTTGTTTTGGTTTTTTTTTTAAGTGTTTTAATTTCCCAAAGTACATTTGTTGTTGTCATGTTTCCTTGTACAAAACATTGTCGTCATCATCATCATCATCATCATCATCATCATCATCATCATCATCATCATCATCATGTTGAGTTACATCATTCAGGGATACATCATTACAGTAAGGGCTGGGCAGAAGGGCATGTCAAGGGCATTCATTATGTATGGTTTTGTGATTGGTTTTTATGAGTGAGTGAGTTTTACTCCACTTTTGGCAACATTTTAGCAATATCACAAATGGACTTTATTTTGCCCACGTGGAGAATTGAACCCGGGTCTTATGCATGACAAGTAAATGTTTCAACCACTAGGCTACTCCTCCACCACATTTGGTTTATGGTCCCTGTTTTGTGGAAGCATCAGTAGAGATGATTCTTGAATAAAGGCAGGATCTGTTGTCATAATACAGCCTTGTTTATGAACCTATCAGAAGGACAACAATCTTGTGCAATATCTGATCCGAACTGCCCTAACTTTGCCCCAAGGGAACAGTTTTATATAGAAGAGGAGTAGCAGCCATTTAAAAGCATGCACTTTGTGTTGTTGGCTATTGATAAGGTTATACAGTGCCTGGCTGATGCACATGACCATGTGGATTGGTGCTTTTGTCTGCAATGCAGTCCATCAATAATATGTGATTGTGCACCTTGTTATCTGTGTATTTGATGTGCACAGACACATGGATGAATTGTTCCCAGTGTATGGAACTATTGAGCAGTACTAGAAAGCTGATGTGTCTAGATAGTTATTTACTTGCCAGTTTGGTATGTGAGTAATAGGTTAATTTTACACTACAAAATCCAAAGAGAAATGTACCAAATACATAAAAATAAAGTTTATTTATGACTTCAATCTGAGTCAATATCAGACAGTGTTCTGTTGGTTGCAGAGCTGTTGTGGTTGGTTGTTTGTTTTTGGTTGGTTCAGAAATAGTCCGTATTGGCAGACAAAGCCACAGAAATAGTCAGCTATATGGCAGACAATCCAGTAGATCAACAGCTATATGGCAGACAATCCAGTGATCAACAGCATGAGCATTGATCTACACAGAAATAGTCCCGCTATATGGCAGACAATCCAGTGATCAACAGCGTGAGCATTGATCTACACAGAAATAGTCCAGCTATATGGCAGACAATCCAGTGATCAACAGCATGAGCATTGATCTACACAGAAATAGTCCAGCTATATGGCAGACAATCCAGTGATCAACAGCATGAGCATTGATCTACACTATTGGTCACCGATGACATGTGTCAACCATGTCAGCAAGCATGACCCCCCCGATCCCGTTAGTCACATCTTACGACCAAGTCTAACCCAGGTTCTTCACGGGTATCCAGAACTCGGAATTGCATTAAGCATCACAAATGTTATAGTATATCCTTCACATTAGACATTTGGCTTTTAAACTTTAGTGTTCACTTTGGAAGGAAAGCCCTATTTTGTTTCCAAGTTAAATGTTTAAACCCTGAACAAAAATATCAAAGCAGTATTGTAATAACACGATATAGAAAACTTAGCTTACAGTTCTGGTTACCTGACTATTTTCACTAACTGAGAATAATGGATAGCCACAGGCAACCAGGCAGATGGTTATTTTGCAGCATCCTCTAGGGCTCACATTTCACTACCCCTAGATTCATTCCATTCTCAGTCTCAAATTGCTCTTCTTTGATTTACATTTGCCAGTCTGATTGGCTACGTTAATTGGTCAGACATACCAATCAGAATGAGAGTCACAAACCAGCCTCATTGTTTTGTTTACAACATCAACAACATGGCTCCAGTCCCATTGATTATGATCAAGGAAGCAAGAAATTCAATATTAAAATACATAAAATCTTTCTGACATGCAAAAGAAAGCCCTCACGAATCATTTTGATGGAAAGCATGTCCTCATGTCCATTAAAACAAGGATGGCTTTGGTTTCTAGACAGGGCTCAATTTAATGAAATAACACCAACCTGGAGATGATGTAACCTTAGGTAAAATACCTGGTTGCACCAGACAAAAATTGGTTGCACTTGCTCAATATAAAATTATATCTAATTCTTGGGTTTTGGTACTGATCATTAAGAAAATCATCTAAACCAAAATATTTTCAGTCTAAGATAATTTTATCTCACTTCATGAAATTTCAGTTACTATCTGTGTAGTCATTAGAGTCATTTCCTCATCAACCAGTTCATCGTCATTCTGTTGTCCAGCTAAAGTCTTCGTCCTTTGAGTAAGAAAATATCAACATGCTCTGGGTGCAACCTGGTTTAAATATGTGGTTGCATTTTGCAGTTTCAGGTTGCACGAGTGTAAGTTCTAAATGCTAGATCAAGCCCAGCTGGGTAATACAAGATACCCCCCTTACCCTTCGCTTTCCAGTTTATTAACATTTCTATGGGTGGTAAACTATAATGAAAGTCAAGGGTGCCTGATTGTCCCCCGCCACAGCGTGGAACGGGGGACTATGTATTCAGCAGCGTCCGTGGAGATGCATCGTAATGCATGTGTATTACGTACGTCCCGATTCTTGTTAACACAATATATCTCATGAACTGTTGTACCCAATGTCTTCAAATTTGGTGTCAGCCTACATTGCGGGATTACACAGACACCAGTCGATTTGCGTGACCTTGACCTTATTTTCAAGGTCACCACGACACTTTGACCACTTTTCCAACTCTTGTTCATGCGATATCTCATGAACTTTGTACCCAATGTCTTCAAATTTGGTGTCAGCCTACATTGGGGATTACACAGACACCAGTCGATTTGCATGACCTTGACCTTATCTTCAAGGTCACCACAACACTTTGACCACATTTCAAACTTATTTAAATGCGATATCTCATAAAACATTGCACACAATGTTTTCAATTATGTTGACAGCCTACATTGGGTGATTATGCAGACACCAGTCATTTCAGGCATCATGTGTGTGACCAAAAAAATTAAAAATAGTAAATATAGATATTCCATTCTTAAGCGGCGGGGGACATTGCCATATCAGTGGCAAACACTTGTTTGTGATTGTAAGAACCACAAGAATACATCCAGGTGTAGGTGGAGATTTCCTGAAGTCAGTCTGTAGATACGAAGATCATTGCATTTCATTACACAGCAGGACCGGTATCTCATGCCATCACAGAATATGAAATAGCCAGTCCCCTAGTACATTCATGGTTAAGCTGGTTAAATGACTGGTCCCTGCCAGTGTCTGGTCACCACTCCCATAGTATTATCTTGATGTGTTCTTGTTGCCAGTGTCTGGTCACCACTCCCATAGTATTATCTCGATGTGTTCTTGTTGTTTTGTTACAGTGGAGAAGACAGAGGAAGAACCAGGATTCTATGAAAAACTGGCCACACACTTCGTCAGCAGGATCCAGGTACACATGTCTTACCCTGTCAATAATGAACATCAGTAAAGACTTTCAATTATATTTTGACAACCATAATCTTTCACTTTACTGATTTTATCCATCATGCCATGTCATAACTGATACCAATATAATTATGTGAAAGAATCATGTCACAGAGTAACAACAGTCATATGAAAGAATCAGTGGTGATTTAATTCTTTAGAGTTATATATGGAGTATGTTTCTTTTATATCTAGTCAATTGTTTTATTATTTGGGGATATTTGTGATGTTTTTAGGTATTTTTTCAGTTCACATCCTGCTCAACCATGATGTACACAACCCTAGTAGCCCAAATGTGATGCTGGTCAACAAAACCCTATTTCCATGTTGGATGCAGATAGTAAGAAGAATTTGCTCTGTTGTAGGTTTCGATACGTAATATACACATTCGGTATGAAGATACTGTTACCAATGTGGACCATCCATTTGCTTGTGGATTGATGCTCAAACAGATTGCCATGCAGTCCACTGACGCCAGGTGGGAGCCCCTGAAGGGAGACACCACCTCCAACATGCTGCACAAGGTGGGTGGGTGTGAGATATGGTGATAAGATACCACCTCCAACATGCTGCACAAGGTGGGTGTGTGTGAGATATGGTGATGTTATACCACCTCCAACATGTTGCACAAGGTGGGATGAGATATGGTGATGATACCACCTCCAACATGCTGCACAAGGTGGGTGGGTGTGAGATATGGTGATGTTATACCACCTCCAACATGCTGCACAAGGTGGGTGGGTGTGAGATATGGTGATATGATACCACCTCCAACATGCTGCACAAGGTGGGTGGGTGTGAGATATGGTGATATGATACCACCTCCAACATGCTGCACAAGGTGGGTGGGTGGGTGTGAGATACCACCTCCAACATATGATACCACCTCCAACATGATGCACCAGGTGGTGGGTGGGTGTGAGATATGGTGATATGATACCACCTCCAACATGCCACCACAAGTTGGGTGGGTGTGAGATATGGTGGTGATACCACCTCCATGACATGCTGCATACCAGTTCCAACATGTGTGAGATATGGTGATATATGATACCACCTCCAACATGCTGCACATAGGTGGGTGGGTGTGAGATATGGTGATATGATACCACCTCCAACATGCTCCATGGGTGGGTGGGTGTGAGATATGGTGATATGATACCACCTCCAACATGCTGCACAAGTTGGGTGGGTGTGAGATATGGTGATATGATACCACCTCCAACATGCTGCACAAGTTGGGTGGGTGTGGTGTGTGATATGATACCACCTCCAACATGCTGTGGGTGGGGTGTGAGATATGGTGATATGATACCACCTCCAACATGCTGCACAAGGTGGGTGGGTGTGAGATATGGTGATATGATACCACCTCCAACATGCTGCACAAGGTGGGTGGGTGTGAGATATGGTGATGTTATACCACCTCCAACATGCTGCACAAGGTGGGTGGGTGTGAGATATGGTGATGTTATACCACCTCCAACATGCTGCACAAGGTGGGTGGGTGTGAGATATGGTGATGTTATACCACCTCCAACATGCTGCACAAGGTGGGTGGGTGTGAGATATGGTGATATGGATACCACCTCCAACATGCTGCACAAGATGTATGCCACCACCCAACATGTGGGTGTGTGAGATATGGTGATGTTATACCACCTCCAACATGCTGCACAAGGTGGGTGGGTGTGAGATATGGTGATGTTATACCACCTCCAACATGCTGCACAAGGTGGGTGGGTGTGAGATATGGTGATGTTATACCACCTCCCAACATGCTGCACAAGGTGGGTGTGTGTGGTGTGATGTCCAACATGCTGCTGCACAAGGTGGTGGGTGTGTGTGGTGATATGGTGATGTTATATATGGTGACTTATACCACCCAACATGCTGCACAAGGTGGGTGTGTGTGTGTGTGTGTGTGTGTGTGTGAGTGAGATATGGTGATGTATATACCACCTCCAACATGCTGCACAAGGTGGGTGGGTGTGAGATATGGTGATGTTATACCACCTCCAACATGCTGCACAAGTTGGGTGGGTGTGAGATATGGTGATGTTATACCACCTCCAACATGCTGCACAAGTTGGGTGGGTGTGAGATATGGTGATGTTATACCACCTCCAACATGCTGCATAAGAGCATTTGATTGGCATGTTGTGAGGTCGTATATCCTGGTAGAGACTGCATGTGTAGTATTTCGGTATGCCATGTGTAGTGTTTATATATATATGTGTGTTGCAGTTGCTGAGACTGGAAGACCTGAGCATCTACTGGAACCCATACATTCCAGAACCCCACCTTGTCAAGTCAAGACTTAACACTGATGGATGGAGGGTATGGAAATATCTTTAAATTCTCATTTAATTAGACTTTTGTCTGTACTATGTTGATTTGTTAAGTTGGCAATCATGTTGCAAATATTATGTTTCCAAATCACAAACAAAAAGGGAAAAAGAGGATTTTGTTGTAACATTTCATAGGTGATAGGTTGCTGTAATAATTTGCCATCCTGTTCCGTGGACTGACCAGAACACCTCAGGGGTCAAGTATTGTTTTTAATACTGACCTCATCAAGAGTAATTGTTTGTATAATATTAGATACTGACATTAGGGCTGGCTACAAAGATTGATAATCGGAAATATCATCCGTTGGAAGAATTGTTTATAATTATAGATATAAGAATTGTGTCATCAGAAATATCGTACATAAATTATTGCGATGAAATAATAATTTAATTAACTCGCACAATGCACAAAGTTAAGTCTGTTTTTAAGGGCTGCTTCTAAATTATGTTCAGGATGCTGTTTTGTTGATATTCCATACAAAAATATGTGATCGATGTGAAATATACTGATTTCTTAGAGACATTTTTTGCATTTTATGGTCATGGTTACTCATTGATATCATTAATCAATCAATATTTAGGTCGATCTTTATAATCTATATGGATTGCCAGCCCTAACTGACATGTTGCCAGATTGTTATATTTTCAACTTGTTCATTTCAGAACCTGTTACGGATGGCTATAGATTCTCACAGCATATTCCAGGAGGACTTTGATTTCAGTGAGTTTTGCTTCTATTACAACTAGAATCAACAAGTGATATCATCTGCCAGCAAAGCATTCATATCATTCATATCATCCATTCCTATATCCAGTGGAAATACAGAGGGGTTCAGTATCTAAAAGCTTGGCTTTCTGTATAAACTGTCTAGCCAACGCGTGTCCAGGCTGCCGAAAGTTTGACACACCTAGTTTGATTGTTTTACTGTGGGTTTTAATTAAGTTAAACTGCTTAATACATTTTGTTTTGGCTGGAGTATGTTAATGTTTAATGAATGGTTTATTCAAGTATTTGTTGGGCCCATTAAAACCAATTCTGTCAGTGTTTGTTTAAAGCCAGCGAGAAGTTTTTCAGACTGATTTGTTGTTGTTTCAGTGAAAAATATGATTAAGAAAGGAACAAGTAAGTTGTAGACAGTTCCTGCCTGCTTCAGTTGTTAGCTGTAAGGTTTCAAATGCAATGCCGAAGACGCTTGCTTTGCGCCATGTGCTTTTCTCATTTGCTCTCGCATACCTGTTGATGACTGTGTACCTGTGCAGCCACGGATGGGCACAGCCAGGTTTGGGATGACTTGTAAAAAATGTATAACAAGAACGAGAGAACTTTGAGACCTATGATAAAGTGTATTTATCTATTGTGTTCTAATTTCTCCTCCCTATTGGATTTGGGATTTGGTTTCATTGTTATGACTGATTATTGACTGGTACCGTTGCCATGAATGGTAGTTTGTATGTGGATGTTTGTATGTTTGTAAGAGGTGATTTCCTCTGGGAATGTCATGTATAGAGTCTGCAGTCAGCTGTTCCGTCCGATACTGTCCCTATGTCATTAGACAAGTGTAAACTAATCCTCCGTTCTCTGGTTTTGGTAAAAAGTGGGGAATTGTAATTGAAGAAGTTCATTCTCAAAATGGTTGTGTGCTCTTGCTATCAACCAATGGTCTGTCTCAGTCACCTACAGGGCAATACATAGCTTTGTCATAGAACATATGGTGTCATTGATGCAATGGACCAATCAGATAACTTGGGATCACTATTCAGTAAATATGCAAATGAGGTCACGCAGTCTGAAATTCTCTGTAAAAGCTCCATGTTCAAACAACTGATACCTGATGCCCCCTGCAAGTTGCAATAATTGTTTTTCAATGTGTGGATGTTCCATGCATATATGGCTTCAAATCTTTGCCACTATACAATAATAAGGAATGATCACTACAACAGTGTATTCATAAACTGTTTCAAAACTTCTTCAAACTTAAAATAACATCTTGGACATTGGTTATTTAAGAATGACATATGGCCAAGGCATTATAACCCATGTCTTTTCTCATTAATGTCATCTATAAAGACTATAGAATAAGTATCAATTATACTCACCAAACAATTGCATGAAATATATGATAGTGTCAGCTAATGATCTCTGATATCATGCATTTCTCTCACTGGTTCATATTGTCCCTACACACAGTGTATGTGCAGGATGAAGCGTGGCCTCTAAAAACAAGCACCTGCACGCCGATGTGATGATGTGCATACTCTATTCTTCTTCATAGAGATCGTCCTTGGGGTACATATTATGCATTTTCCACGCTGAAAATGTCCTGTGACAGTTGTATCAATGTTTTTTGAATAAAAAGATTGTACAATAAATAAACTTTTTTATTTATTATACGGCCCCCACCTCGTGGAGTTACCTCCCGTCGCGCATGCGCACCAACTGGGTAATCACCTAGGCCCGTATCATCATTCCTTCTGCTGTCACTCACGTGTATAGACGTGTTAATGTGTAGAGCAGCGCTGTACTCTCCAAGAGAACTCAAAAGAGCTATGTCTGAGACAACACCACCTGTATGTATGGTCTTTATTTTGTCCTTGAAAGGAACAGTAAAGCTTCGCGGTCGGTTGTTTCATAATTGTGACTTTGTATTAATTATTTTACGCTCACTTTCCCGTGGTTTACGCACATGTTGCTCTGCCATGGCGGGAAGTTTAGCGTGCCACGTAGTTGTAATATTGCGTATTGAACCAACTATTGCTTCCCTTGGTAGCCTTCACGTATTTTTCAATGTTTTCTACGTGTATCTTATACGTGTATCTTAGCTGCTGGTCTGCTGTTAGCTACATGCTTGCGTGTTTGCTTTCAGGCGTTTTCCTCCTGTTCGGTTTGTGGGCAAAGCATACCCAGGGCCGACCGCCACGATAAATGCATCGTGTGTTTGGAAAAAACGGATCATATCTCAGAAACCTGTGAGATTTGCATGGGCTTTTTCCCCCGGGCGCAGAAGAGAAGGGCGGCGGATTTTCTCTTTTATAGAGAGATGCGGGAGGCGGGAAGGGAACTGACCCTGGTCCCCCCGTCCAAAGCGAAAAAGCCTCACAGTAAGGGCAGAAAGTCACGTAGCCAGTCGCCTTCTCCCGCTCCTAGTAGCGGTTTTGATATGTCGTTAATAACTCAGTTGTTCCAGCAGCACGTGGACTCGATGAAGTCCCTCGTTCATGAGTCGGTTGGAGGGCTCCGGCAGGAGTTCATCGCCCACTCTGCGCGCGGGGCGGAGAGACTGGGGGTGGGAAAGCCGAGCCCGGCTCGGGAGGGTTCGCTCCCAGTCCCCCTCTCGGAGTTGGCGCAGGGTCCGTTGAGGATTCCTGGGGTTCCGGTCCCTGCGCCGTCCCGCCCCATGAGAGTGGAGGCACCAGTTCTGCCTGGTCTGCCTCCAGCGTCTCGGGACCGGGGTCTGTGCCAGATGGCAGGTGCTGACGCGGGGCGCTCTGTCTGCTCCTCCCTCTCTTCTGTGCCTGGTGCTAGGCCGCCCACCTTTTTGGGGTTCGGGTCCTCTTCGCGAGGAGACCCAGCCTCGGACTCGGGCTCGGGCACCGAGTCCATCGATACTGGGGAGGTTGAGGAGCAGGAGGGTGCCTTCCGTTTTTCGTCGGCTTTGCGGGAGGTCCGCAGCGCATTGCGAAGTTCCTACCCCAGGCGCGGTGCCTGCCAGCCGCTCGGACTCGTCTGAGTTCCGCCTGCCAGGCGAGGCGTTTGCCCCTCGGCAGTCTACGCAGACGCTGCTCCGTATTCTTCCGTCGTTGGTCCAGGACGTGGTCGATCCCCTCCTGTCTGGGTCTCGCCTCCGTTTCGACTTGCCTGAGCTTGTCCGGAGGTACCAGCTGGGGGAGGATTCCCTGTTCCCTGTTCCAATGGTGGATGAGTGCGTGTTTACTTCGGTCGCCTTGGGGGAGGCTCGGCTTCCTCCGGAACAGCTCCGGCTGCTCGGCAAGGGCGTTTAACACCACCGTTTGCCCTCGCGGGCGCCCCCTTGCAACATGCATATCGGACCTACAAGGAGGTCTACCGGAATGCTATGCAGCAGGTGCGGGTCGTGGTCCATGAGGCCTACCTCTCCTCGATCCAGAGGTCGGCCCTGGATGCGGAGGGGCATGCTGGAGACGTTTCCAGCAATATTCCAGCAGGGGACACCAGAAATTGGCCAAGGGTAAGGGCAAAGAGCAGTCCTCTTCGACTAGCTCCCAGCCTTTTCGCGGGCGCGGGAGGTCTGCCCCGACCTCCCGTTAACCCATCAGGCTGTAGACCCAGACGTGTGTCATTCCCAGTCAGCTCCGCTACTCGGGACCACGCACGCGCTCTTACCCAACGTCCCAGTGGGAGGCCGCCTCTCTCTATTCCTGCCGGAGTGGGAGAAGGCTACAAACAACACTTAGGTGCTGTCCACCGTCAGTGTCGGCCATTTACCACTGTGGAAGCGAGGTCCGCCCGACTTCACCGGCATACGCCGCACTCCGGTGGCGTCATGTCAGGCAAGGGCGGACATATTGCGCGACGAAGTCCGCAATCGAGCGCATACCACCGGGCGAGGAACAGGCCGGATTTTACTCCACGTACTTCCTCGTTCCGAAGAAAGACGGCGGGTTCCGTCCCATTCTCAACCTCAAGGGGTTGAATCGCATGCTCGAAGTACCATCCTTCAAGATGGAGACACTGTGCTCGGTGATCTCCTCTGTTCAGCCCGGCGATTGGCTCACGTCAATCGACCTCAAGGATGCGTATCTGCATGTGCCCATACATCTATCGTTCAAGCAGTACCTTCGGTTCTCTTACGACGGGATGTGTTACCAATACACGGTGCTCCCCTTCGGCATATCCACTGCCCCAAGGGTGTTCACCAAGCTCATGTTAGTCCCGGCTACCCTCGCTCGCTCGCAAATGAGGCGTTGTTACCCTTACCTCGACGACTGGTTGCTCGGTGCACTGACACAACCAGCGAGCCTAGATTCTAAACATTCTAGTTCGACTGGGGTGGATCATCAACCTCAAGAAATCCGACCTGGTACCCACCCAGGACTTTATTTTTCTCGGGGCGAGGTTCCAAACACACAAGGATCTTGTTTCCTTGTCGCCCGACCGGGTCACCAGAGTACGGGAGATGGTGTCTTCGTTCCTCTCCCAGCCCCAGGCACCAGCACGGACTTGGCTCCGTCTACTGGGCCATATGGCGGCGACGATCTCTGTCAAGTGGCGGGCGCGGTTGAGGATGCGCCCTATACAGCAAGCTTTGGCGAGTCTGTGGGCTCACTCGGAGGACCTGGAGCGGAGTCTCACAGTCCCCGGGTGGTTGACACCTCACCTTCAGTGGTGGACAAATGTCGGGGAATCTCACCAGGGGGATCCCCTTGGAAATCCCGACGCCAGCTCTTACAGTTCAGACAGATGCGTCCCTCACGGGCTGGGGGGGTGTTCTGGGCAGTCTGTCTGTGTCCGGACTCTGGTCGAAGTCGAAGCCCACCTTCACATCAACGTGTTGGAACTGAGAGCTGTGCGGTTGGTTTTGGCTTCGAGAGCATGTCCAGGGCCAGGTGGTTCATCTTCAGTTGGACAACCAGACGGCCATGTTGTACATCCTGAAGCAAAGGCATGCACGCGGTGTCCCAGCTCCTCCGGGAGACATGGGACTTTCTCCTCTGGGTGCCGACCAGCGATTGTCAGGTACTCCC